CCGGTGAGCTTGTTATCCCTCAAACTCAGAGTGGTCAAGTAACCTAAGTTCGACAGGTCCGGTATAGGACCGGTGAAATAATTACCATGTAACCAAACCTCACGCAGAGAAGTCATGTTCTGTAACACATCAATAGTACCATTAAGCCTATTGGTGCCCTGTTGGCTGTTCAACCAGAGGGACTGAATACTCGAACTCGAAAAACTAGCAGGCAATTCGCCTTCAAGGTAATTGAAAGCCAAATGTAGATCAGTCAAACCTGGGAAATTGGAACTGCTGAAGATATCGGGGATTCTTCCGGTGATGTTGGTCTCGGTGGCGGAGAATTCCTTCAGCTGTGTGGCACCTTTGAGAGTGTTGGGAATCTGCCACGCAGCGAAGGGATTGTGGTCGATGTTGATGTTGACGAGGGAGGTGAGTCCGGTGAAGAAATCGGAGGGGAAGGACGAGAAGTTGTTGTCGTGGGCGAGGAGGACCTGAAGCGGTTGCACCCCGGAGAGGCTCGGAAAAGGTCCGGTGAGTTGGTTGTTCTGAACTTCCAGTTGCTGCAAATTCGAAAGCTTTTGGATTTCCGGCGGCAGCGTGCCGGTGAGTTTCTGATTACCCAATTGGATTTTGAAAACCTTGCCGGCCTGGCAACTCACTTTTCCCCATTTGCAGTAATCGGTGCCGGACCACCCGAGATTGTTGGAGCCGATGCTTTTCCGGAGTGCTTCCATGGCCCCTCCGTCGTCGCCGCCACCGCCGGACTGGGAGTGTACTGGTGGGTACAGCGAGAAAAACAAAAGCAGCAGAACGGGGAAAGAACCCCAGAAACCCAGTTGGGGTTCCTTCATTTTTTTTCAGAAAAAAATACAAGAAAGTGGATGAAAAGGAAGAAAGATACAGACTTTGACAGAGAAAAGAAGAGCAGAAATCTCTAGGGTTTATGGGAGGAGAAACGGCGGAGAATTGAGCGGAGAAAAGGCGAACGTTTTTGGGGGTTTAATTGGAGAGTTCGTGGGGCTTTGAATGATACTCTGATTTTCGTGGCGCTTTGAATGATACTCTGATTTTCGGTTGGGTAGTGTTTGGGAACAGAGAAAAACAAGCTGGCATAACGATTTACGTGTGCGATTTTCTCTCTCTGTTTCGATTGAAAGAAATCCAAGGAAATAAATTGGAAAAGGAAAGAGGAGGAGAATGGGTCGGTTTTGATTACAAATTTCTTGTTTTGGTTTAAAGACTTTTGCTTGTGCAGTCTGCTACACGTACTACTCAATAGTGGACGATGGGTAAGAGCTTTGCTGTCTTCCATCTTACTATATTTTTGGTATTATTCTCATCTCAATTTTCTAACGCGGAAGAATGACTTATACGGCAAGAATATATCGTTCTTCTCGTTTTGAACTAATTCCATAATATAAATGTTAATTTTTATTTTTATTATATATAACTGTATCATGTAAATTGCTCTTGTGAGCATGATTATAAATAACTCAACTATATATTGTGATATTTAGATAAGTTTAAAAGTTAGAAACTCTGTCACTACATACGAAAAACAAAAATAGACTATTGATATATGGCTAAATAGTAAGTTTTTTTTTCCTAATTAGAAATGAATCCTAGTGGATTTGTTAATTGATTTGACATGATCGTTGAGTTGTAATCAGAAGCCGTAATCTAGCAGGAAATTAAGGGATGATTTGGAGTAAATAATGGTGTGATTGTTTTGGCTTTTTCTGTCTGTTTATTTGTGTGTACCCACCAACCATTTTCTTAGAAATTGGCATTAATCGGGGACTGACAGTTCCGATTACCCTAATTAATTTCCTTAATGTTTGACAACTAACTTAATAATTATTTTTAATTCGCGGAGGGTGGACTTATGACGACCCGAATGTTAAAAAAAATGGAGTTTTAACGAAAAGCTCACGGTACTATTTACTTTAACGAAAAACCACATTTTTACACTAAAAAGTCAAACTTGGTACTATTCACTTTACCCTTTATTTTGTCCTTATCATTAAAACTCAAAGTTTTCAAGCCATTTTCATTAGTTTTCCTTAAAAAAAAAGGTCCATTGGGCCCAAATCTTCGAACGATCTTTTGCATGGCATACATTTGGATAGAGATGGAAGCGGTGCGGTACGGTTTGGTTCGGTTTCAAGTGAAATAACAATCAAAATCGAAACTTTTTACGGCTTGATTCAGTGCAATTTTGAAGCCAAAAGCAAAATGAAATCAAACCGGTTGATTCAGTTTGGTGCAATTTCAAACGGTTTTGATTCGGTTTTTTTAAAAAAAGTTACAATTTTAAATTTATACCTATTTACGCATAAGATGATCTCATTTTCCTCGTACATTAATTAATGAACCTGCAACAAAATTGTAGCGAAAAACAGCAGCAAAAGCAAAACTGCAGCAAAGGATGTCAGAGATAGAGAGATTTGTCTGACCATATGCAACATTAGCACCAATCTACAACACACAAGCATTAAAGAAAGTATATATGTATACATCTTTCATACTGCACAATTTGTTTAAGATATATATCAAGATAAGCACTGTTATGAAGCACATTTCTCAAGCGAAAGAATGTTGCTAATTACAGGTGTGCTGCATTAATCAGGTTCAAGCTTCTAGCACATCTATGAACTCTGTGCCTTATTTAGATTGTGCGGAGCGTTGTGATCAAGGGTTGGAATTAGTAATTCTATTGCAATATGAGTACTATTGATTGCACAGCTTCTTGCATGTGACCAAATAGATGAACATGGGTTTTGAAAGAGAGATACATGTATGGACTCGAATAGAGGTGCAAAATTGGATGACATTCTATTATAGTGTAGTTGAGTCCATATTATAAATGTATGGACTCTAATAAAGAACCAATTAAAACATAACATTTAATATATGGTGCGGTTTCGGTTTCGGTGCAGTTTTGAAAACCCAAAACCAAAACCAAACCATTTTCTTAGCCGCTGTTCAGTTTCAAAACCGCAAAACTGAACCGTTCGGTGCAGTTCGATTCGATTCGTGTTTCGGTTTTGATTTTCTGTTCCAAGTGCCAACTCCTACATTTGGACACTACTGACATAAGGTGTATTTTATTTTTAATTCCCCTCTTTTATTTTATTTTTTTAACTATTTTGTGCACGAAGATTCAAACTTCTAAATTTCAAGCACCGAAAGAAAAATAATATTGCAATTTGTATAAATTCATTTGTTTAATATTATTCGTCCGTATTTAATTTAGAGTTGAATTTTAACTTTTTTCGAGATATTACAGTATGTTTACTCACGTGTGAGATTCATAGGACATACATGATTCACGTTATCCTATACTATTCACAAATCAAGTTTAAATTTCATTATACATGAAAAGGCGTGTAAGAATGTATCCTAAGATCGAAAAGCTTAAAGGACTATAAGAAGTTGATGTGAAACCTCATCTAACTTCATTAAAATCTTTACTGGAAACCCACCGCCCAACATCCAAATGTATTAATGTAGAGCCTCAGGGCCTCCACTATATGCCTTGATGCCGTTTGTGTTTTTTCTGGTTGACAAGAAGTCGTAGAGTAAACTCCTACACGGCTATCACAACTACCTAAGACGATAGGCGTAATAGATTCGTATCGGTAATTACAACTTGTTTTCGTCGAATAACAAGAATATACAAAATCATTGCAGAAAAGCAAAACCACATGAAATCAGCACTAATAAACGTGACCACACATATCATTGTTCAAGTGGCAAGACCACATCCAGCCATGGCAATAGCGGGACCACATTCGAGTTGGGTTGGGTCGGGTCGGCTGCATAAAATGATTGTACGGAAGAGATGTCGACGAAGAAGATAACGTCAAAATATTATATGGACCATCCAAAGGTCGGACATCGATGACCATAAACTTAAGACCAATATCCTGGTCCGATGTAATTTGTCCACATGTAACATGGGATCCTACATTTGTTTTCTTTTTCCACGTGGCACCATACAAAAATTGATGGAAAAGCCAATATTCTATATTTATTATAATATAATGCTAACCTAAATAATGCATGCCACACAAAATATTTGCTTTGGTTTGCCGATTGGAAAGTAATACTGAATTGGCCAAACTTAGAATGTCACTAAAAAGCCCAAACCCTAATTAGTGCTCGTGCGTGTCTATTCTAGTTGACGTGAACGTCGATGAATTGGCTTGAGTAGCGTGTATTTTATCAAATATCCTTGTTGAAAAGATGTTGAATTTTCATTTATGCATTCCGTTTCGAAACTCTCTTTCTCTAAATTATTGTAATAGTTTCAAATTATCTTCGCTCTCTTTAATAATAATATGCATTTTAATTAAAAAAAACAAAAAAAAAAGAGATTAAATTAGGTCAAGTAATCAAATAGATTAAAAAAACATTAAAAATAATTTGGTTAAAATAACCAAATATTCAATTTAAATTGTTGAACTAAATGAAAAAAAATAGTGACATGTGGATTGAATATTCACGGAATAGCAATCAAATGTCAACGATATACAAAACACGGGAAAATTACAATAATAAGAGTAATGCTTAACTTACCATGTTTTGGTGGATCCCACCTTTTATCATAGAGATGATAAAATGTGGTGAAAGTAATATTTTTATTTCAGGATTTGAAAAATAATTGTTTTCGGATTTCTCTAAATTAAAATTATTCCATTAATCTTTGAGAGGGTGAGGACAAAAGCCCAATTGAAATTATTCTTACAAAACACAAGCCCTGAAGCCCAAAAAAATGCAAAGTCCATACGCCTAACATGCCTTCTGTTCTTGCATTTTCAGGTTTGGACTTGCATGCCTATGCATGCATTTACTTAATACATTCATCGTCTAACATTCTAATATGTTCAAATATGACATTCTCTCTTTCTAGTCGCATATTTGACCGTCAGATACTGAATTAAGGGAACGTTTGAGAACAATATTTCGACAAAACAAAAAGAACTCGAATCAAAATAACTATCAAACGGCCCTAAGTAATCGTTACCCATGTCAATTATGGTACATTCCATTATTCACAGAAAGTCTAAATGCAAAACATCGAATCAGTTGTACAAAAAGAATGGTACAAATCGAAGGCATTGAAACCCCTTTCCTCAGAACACAGAAGAAAGATTCAAACAAGGCATACAAAAAATATAACATTTACACAATTTGCTCCTCCCCTTTTCTAAGGATCATCCTACTACTATACATACGAAGTGGGAAATGGAGGTTTGTAGTAGTATACATGTGCGTGGATATACCGAATCGAGGACATTTTGAGGTAAATTCCATACATACCATCAGAATCTTCGGCTTCAGATGGTTTCCAGTGCTCAACGAGGGACGAAAGAACATTGACTGCATGAGGTCATTTCGAGGTCAATTCCCTACATACCGTCAGAATCTTCGGCTTCAGATGGTTTCCAACGCTCAACAAGCGACGAAAGAACATTGACTGCATGACCCATGTCAGGCCTCTGGTAGGGCTCCGTTGTGCTGCAATGCCCAGCAAGCTCAGCGACAGTGTTAATACTGGAAAGAGTTTCCTCATTGAGATCAATTGTTGGATCAATGGCCTTCCGGAGTGCATCCTTGTTAATGAGCATTCTGCGGAACCATGTAACAAGGTGCAAGCTCTCCTCTGGTTCGCTTTTAAGAATTGCTCTTCTACCCGTGATCAGCTCCATTAAGATCACTCCAAAGCTATACACGTCAACCTTGAGTGTCATCCGCCCAGTTGCTGATACATTACAAATTTGTGGTTTTAGTGCCTTGAATTTTTATTAATCGAAAGACAGTAAGCATGATTAAGTACAACAAACCTTATGACCAAATGCCATGAGGCTATAGCAAGAAGAAAACGCACCGCAGAACAGACGCTACATTAATTATGGAACAAGCGGAAAATGTCTGCAACACGACACTATAAAATACTGAGCTGAATGGTTTTGTTAACCTTTCCAATAATCCTACATCAGATACATATAAATTCAGTCAACATGTTAGAGACAACAAATGCTCATCGCAGACAAAAGCCATTTCATTCTTTTCTATCTTCTTCGCATCCCTGATTTTGAAAATTATAAACTACTTAGCATGCCATCACACTTTCATGACAGAATATTATTTTCCTAATTCTGTCCTGGTCACTGATTTTTTCCGGCAGTTCGCACAAAGAATAATCAGTGAGAGATAATCTCATAGTTGTCTTAGTTCATTGAACAATGACATTTGCTGGAATATTAATCATACTTTACAATGCAAATACCTTTCACGGTACTCAAATGGAATTTGAAAAGAAGAGTGCATATAGAAATGTTTTACCTGCATACTCTGGAGCCAAATAGCCAAAAGTTCCAGCTAGTCCTGTCGCAATTGAGGCTTCCCCTTCTGGAACAAGACGAACCAGTCCAAAATCCGAAACTTTAGCCCGCATATAATCTCCCAGTAAAATGTTCGAAGGTTTAAGATCCCTGTGAATGAAAGTCTGGCTGGCTAAACCGTGGAGATACTCAACCCCTCTTGCAACATCCAAGGCAATGGTCAGCCGTCTAGTCCATTCAAGTGGCTTCAGACCTTCCTCTTTCCAGTTGAACAAGTATCTACTAAGAGTCCCTTGAGGCATGTATTCATAAACAAGAAGCCTCTCGTTTCCGTCCAAACAATAGCCAAGAAGTCCAACCAAGTGGCGGTGTTGGACTTTAGTAAGAACTGCAATCTCAGACTTGAACTCATTTAGAACCTTCTCCGCCACCACTCCAGATTCCATCCTCTTCACTGCAATCTTTTTCCCATCATGCAACTCCCCTTTGTACACAGTTCCAAAACCACCTTTTCCTAATACATTATTTTCGCTGAAATTATTGGTCACATCTCTCAAAGCTTGGATCGAAATGACCATACTTCCAGCCTCAACCACATGAATGTCATTAGGTCCCCTACTTGCGTTTGCACTTTGCACTCCGCCAGAATGCTTATGCTTTTTCTTAAGTAGACAGATAGCAACAAACCCAACTACAACCAATCCGCCAACACAGCCGATGCCAGCCCCAACAACCACCCCAGTCCTAGATTTTTTACCTCCATCTGAGTGGGAGGCAGGCGGTGAATTAGGAATTGTAGGCGTCGCTGGCGAAGGGGGATGATCCTGACCAATATTAGGGTTCCCATCTGTTTTCACGTCCACATTCTTAAACTTTGGTACTTGACCAAAAAGTTGGTTGTTACTAACATCTATCTGTTGAAGGTTGGGCAGTTGCGTAAGCTCCTTTGGTATGGTACCCGTGAGGTTATTATCGTCAAGTCTCAATGTCCGCAAGGAGGTAAGCAGAGAATAATTTGAAGAGATCGTACCCGAAAGACCCAGGCTCCGAAAATTGACAACAGTAATGTTTCCACCATTACACGTAATTCCCATCCAGTTAATACAAGGATCGTTCCCCTTCCAACTATCTGCAAAAACAGTAGGATAACCCATGTCTTTGACGACCGAAAGCAATACATTGACACGAGCGTCGCAATCAACACCCGGCTTATCACTGCAAAAACTATTTACCCCCGTCATATCCACCAGAACCCCATCGCCAAACTTGGGCATTGGTCCTTGAAGCATATTGTTGGTCAAATTAACAGAAGTAAGGGATTTAAGATTCAACAAAGACGCGGGAACAACGCCGGTGAGCTTGTTATCCCTCAAACTCAGAGTGGTCAAGTAACCTAAGTTCGACAAGTCCGGTATAGGACCGGTGAAATAATTACCATGTAACCAAACCTCACGCAGAGAAGTCATGTTCTGTAACACATCAATAGTACCATTAAGCCTATTGGTGCCCTGTTGGCCGTTCAACCAGAGGGACTGAATACTCGAACCCGAAAAACTAGCAAGCAATTCGCCTTCAAGGTAATTGAAAGCCAAATGTAGATCAGTCAAACCTGGGAAATTGGAACTGCTGAAGATATCGGGAATTCTTCCGGTGAGGTTGGTCTCGGTGGCGGAGAATTCCTTCAGCTGTGTGGCATCTTTGAGAATGTCGGGAATCTGCCACGCAGCGAAGGGATTGTAGTCGATGTTGATGTTGTCGAGGGAGGTAAGTCCGGTGAAGAAATCGGAGGGGAAGGACGAGATGTTGTTGTCGTGGACGAGGAGGACCTGAAGCGGTTGCACCCCGGAGAGGCTCGGAAAAGGCCCGGTGAGTTGGTTGTTCTGAACTTCCAGCTGCTGCAAATTCGAAAGCTTTTGGATTTCCGGCGGCAGCGTGCCGGTGAGTTTTTGGTTACCCAATTGGATTTTGAAAACCTTGCCGTCCTTGCAACTCACTTTTCCCCATTTGCAGTAATCGGTGCCGGACCACCCGAGACTGTTGGAGCCGATGCTTTTTCGGAGTGCTTCCATGGCCGCTCCGTCGTCGCCGCCGCCGCCGGACTGGGAGTGTACTGGTGGGTACAGCGAGAAAAACAAAAGGAGCAGAACGGCGAAAGAACCCCAGAAACCCAGTTGGGGTTCCTTCATTTTTTTTTCAGAAAAAATATAAGAAAGTCGATGAAAAGAAAAAAGATACAGACTTTGACAAAGAAAAGAAGAGCAGAAATCTCTAGGGTTTATGGGAGGAGAAACGGCGGAGAAATGGGTCTTTGAATGATACTCTGGTTTTCGGTTGGGTAGTGTTTGGGAACAGAGAAAAACAAGCTGTCGTAACGATTGAAAGAAATTGAAGGAAATAAAATGGAAAAGGAAAGAGGAGTATAGTATCATAGTATGTGTCGGTTTTGATTACAAATTTCTTGTTTTGGTTTAGACTTTGGTAAGAGCTTTGCTATCTCCCATGTCCCATCTTACTATTTTTCTGGTATTATTCCAATCTCAATTTTCTGATGGGGAGAATGACTTCTACGACAATAATTCATCGTTCTCTACACGTTTTGGACTAATTACACAATATAAATGTTAATTTTTATTTTTGTGATATATAACTGTATCATATAAGTTGTTCTCGTGAACATGATTATAAATAGCCCAATCATATATTGCAAACTGTATCATATAAGTTGCTATCGTGAACATAATTATAAATAGCTCAATCATATATTGCGATATTTAGATACGTTCAAGAGGTAGAGATGCAATGTCTGAATGGACAGCAAAACCAAAACAAAAATAGGCCTTTTTTTTGGAAAAATGGGGACAACTGATGTCGACGAAGTTGGGTTGGGTCGGGTCGGCTGCATAAAATGATTACATGGTAGAGATGTCGACGAAGAAGATAACGTCGAAATATTATATGGACCATCCAAAGGTGGGACATCGGTGACAAATTGACAATAAACTTAGACCAATATCCTGGTCCGATGTAACTTGTCCACATGATAAAAATTGATGGAAAAGCCAATATTCTATATTTATTATAATATAATGCTAACTTAAATATTGCATGCCACACAAAATATTTGCTTTGGTTTACCGACTGAAAAGTATATATTGAATTGGCCAAACTTAGAATGTCACTAGAAACCCCAAAACCCTAATTTGTGTTTGTGCGTGTCTATTCTAGTCGTGTCTGTTCTATCAAATATTCTTGTTGAAAAGATGTTGGATTTTTATTTATGCATTCCATTTTGAAACTCTCTTTCTTTAAATTATTGTAATAGTTTCAAATCATATTCGTTCTCTTTAATAATAATATGCATTTTAATAATAAAAAAGAGATTAAATTAGGTCAAGTAATCAAATAGATTAAAAAAACATTAAAAATAATTTGGTTAAAATAACCAAATATTCAATTTAAATTGTTGAACTAAATGAAAAAAAAAATAGTGAAATGCGGATTGAAAATTCACGGCATAACGATCAAATGTCAACGATATACAAAACACGGGAAAATTACAATAATAAGAGTAATGCTAGACTTACCATGTTTTGGTGGATCCCACCTTTTATTATCTCTATTAATTAATAAAATACTCATTGTGAATCAAAATTCTATGAAATTATCAGTTTAACATTCTAATTAAAAAAAGAACATGAATAAGAAATATGAGGTAGAAATGTAATTTCACATAACCAAATTTTGCTGTGTTTTTTTTTTTCAAAACCTCACTTACATGTAATCCTAACATTTCTCCAATTAAAAAATAAAAAAATAAAAAAAATAAAAAAAAACTTCTTACTCCCACATTCTCTATCACTCTCTCTCTCTCCTTCTATTTCAAAAATAAAAATAAAAAAATTTCTCACACATTTTGTGTGTACCCATATGCTATTAGAGATGATAAAATGTGATGAAAGTAATATTTTTATTTATGGATTTGAAAAATAATTGTTTTCGGATTTCTCTAAATTAAAATTATTCCATTAATATTTGAGAGGATGTGGACAAAAGCCCAATTGAAATCTCACAACGCACAAGCCCTGAAGCCCAAAAAAAATGCGAAGTCCATAAGCCCAACATGCCTTTTGTTCTTGCATTTTCGGGTTTGGACCAGCATGCCTATACATGCATTTACTTAAATCCATTCATCGTCTAACATTCTAATATGATCAAATATGACATTCTCTCTTTCTAGTCGCATATTTGACCGTCAGATACTGAATTAAGGGAACATTTGAGAACAATATTTCAACAAAACAAAAAGAACTCGAATCAAAATAATTATCAAACGGCCCTAAGTAATCGTTACCCATGTCAATTATGGTACCTTCAATTATCCACAAAAAGTCTAAATGCAAAACATTGAATCAGTTGTACAAAAAGAATGGTACAAATCGAAGGCATTGAAACCCTTTTCCTCAGAACTCAGAAGAAAGATTCAAACAAGGCATGCAAAAAAATATAACATTTACACATTTTGCTCCTCCCCTTTTCTAAGGATCATCCTACTACTATACATACATACGAAGTGGGAAATGGAGGTTTGTAGTAGTATACATGTGCGTGGATATACCGAATCGAGTTAAAATTTTAGTTAGAAATGATTCCTCGAACCTGTATTCAAGCCATTACGAATCATCAAAATTCTAGGACTTTTAGGATCAACAGCCGACGTTGTCTCTGCAGAATATCAAAAAATTGCTGGTAACATCCGACCAACAAAGATGTCTGCAGGTTTTGAGTTTTGACAATTCTTGTTGCGAGTCTGAGGCTGTTTTAAGTTTTGAAGAACTTGGCAACGGCTTGATAGAGATTCTCTTCCTCGAAGGGCTTTGAGACGTATCCATCCATCCCACACTTCAGGCACTCATCGTAGGTGGCATGAATAACATCCGCCGTCATAGCTAATACAGGCAAATGCCAGTCACCCCTTCTTGCAAGTGCTTCAAATCCACCATTCGTCTCAACATTTGCCTTGCTCTCCATCTGCCGGATTCTGCGTGTTGCCTCAAACCTGCAATCAAAAGTAACATTTGTAAACAACAATTCCAACTTGGTCAAGCACAAATGCTAGCAATACGGGCATTCCGAATCTAGAATGTAGTAACTGAAACACCGAAACATACCCATCCATTTCAGGCATTTGAATATCCATGAAGCAAGCATCAAAATTGTGCGGTAATTGAAGCAACGCCAATGCAGCTTTGCCACTATCAACACACTCTACATTAGCACCAAACTTCTTCAGTGCACCAGCAGCAACTCTCCTGTTTACCAAATTGTCATCAACCACCAAAATTTTCTTCCCACAGAGCAGACTTTGGAGGACGTTAGATCCATTAGGCACCACTCTCCCTGGTTGCCTCTTCTTTCCTATGCCCAGGACCTCTTGAAGACACGCAGCCACCATACTAGCCCTCAAAGGTTTCATAATTACGGTATCCGCAAAACCTGCCGCCCTTACCTTATCAGATTCAGCTTGACTAAGATTATTGGTTGCAAGAAGGATCATTTTTGGCAGCTTAAACGCATGACCATTCTGTTTCCAATCCAATTTCTGCACATTAAGATCATGTTCTTCACCAGAAATCCATGAATCCTTCTCAACTAGAACTATATCTGGCTGGATACTTTTCCTGTCATAAATAATGAAGCAGTTCAATTCAGTTAATCAAATCCTACTTATTTCCAAAGTCTTACCTTTTTTTTTCAGTTTTCCAAAGTCTACCTTTCATAGCAGTTAATAAGGTAATACTGAATTGCCACATTGTTATAGTTTTATCACAGTAAATATTAAACCCCTTAAAAACTTTAAAGATGTAGCAAAAGTAAACGTACCCGGATGCCGCAGCACCATTTCTTCCACATGAAGCAACAGCCATCTTGATGCTGCTCGCTACTTCCACAAGGATTCCAAGTCTCTTTAAGTGGTATTTGGTTACAGCAGCTCTCACAAGTTTTCCATCAACTACTATTGCTCGCAATCCTCTAAAACTAGAAGGTAGATCCTCAGGATTAGGTTTTTTCATGTCACTAAATGCATTTTTCTTGCACCTCCTAAAATTAGCGGTGAAAGAAAATGTACTCCCAACGCGAGGTAGACTTACAAATTTTATCTGACCACCCATCAGTTCAACCAGACACTTACTGATGCTCAAGCCAATACCAGTTCCTCCATAATGTCTAGAGGTTGAACTGTCTGCCTGCATGAAGGGCATAAAAACACGTTCCTGGGCAGCTAACGGTATACCTATCCCTGTATCCTCCACAGAAACCATCAACGTGACCTGCTCAGAAGCTTCAACAACATCGGCTCTGTATTCTTCATCAGACACCAGATGCTTAAACTTATCCCAACTATTCCAGTCATTAGCTGCTTCACACCCACTTAAAGTTTTAAACTGATGGCCATCGGATGTCAGCACACCTTCATCTGATCCTCCGTTCAAGTAAGTCTCTGATTTCCCATTTATCATCACCTTTGAGGGCTCAGCTAGATGAACTTTGACAAATATATGTCCTCGTTCAGTGAACTGCCAAATGTAGAACTCAAACATAAGTTTTCTTTGATCACTAACCAGAGCAGGACAAACCAAAGATTTTAATGAATCCTGTTACTGAAAGTTAAAAATAAAAAATGAAACTTCCACTTACTTTAATAGAGTTGCCCACTAGATTTGTAATTATCTGTCTGAATCTCCCTGGATCTCCCATAAAAATGTCTGGAACTTTATCGGACACAAATACTGCTAGCTTCACATCCCAAATATAAATCGGAATTAGGAGATTTGACGATGAAACATGATATTATAAATTATGACAGTTCATATTTCAGAATTTAAGAACTATCACCATCACCACACCACAATTTAATAACTACAAAACCATTGCAGTAAATCTGAGCTGAAGACATTGAGGCTTACCTCTATACCCTTATTTCTAGATTTTTCAGAAAATAAAGATAGAACATCATCTAGTATTGACCGAATGCCAAATGGAACTTCTTCCAGCTCTAGCTTGCCAGCATCAATCTTTGCCCGGTCAAGCACCTCATTTATTAATGTTATCAAAGCCTTTCCACAAGCTTGAGCCGTTCGAGCATAATCCATCTGGGTCGAACTTAGAGCTGTATCTAAAAGCAAGGCAAGCATTCCTGCAATCATCGAAAAATAAAGATTTTATCTCTTGCAAAAGTACATTTTCGGACTCGTACCATAATGTCATTCTGAAAATAAAATGTTAAAATTGGGAGATCTGTTAGCTTACCTAGGATTCCGTTCATGGGCGTTCTTATTTCATGAGAAACGGTAGCAAGAAACTGGCATGAAAAAAAAATAAGACAACATATCAAAAACATGCCATTGAGGAATGAGCAATGTTTGGGGAAATGTTGAAAACAGTACCTGGGACTTGGCAACATCAGCAGCTTCTGCTCGAACTTTTAATTCCTCCATTTCACGGAAATCATCCTCAACTTTAACAATGTGCATTGCTGCTCCATA